ATATTAGCGACTGCAGATTCAAGCTTACATTGATTGGACAGTATCAGGCGAAGGAAACCTTCAGTCGTGTTGCAGGGTTGGTCAGGTGATGGAAGCTACTGACTGCCTCGAGGTTCCTATAACGAGACGCTTTCTGCGTGTTGAAAGCCGTGATGTTTCACAGACATATGCAAACAGATGGCTTAATACCTTTAAAAATACACAATTTTTCTCCAGTGCCTTACCGATCTCAGTTCCGTTTCGGGACTGCAAGAAAGGTAGAATCCAGAGGTTTGGTTACTTGTGAGTAGTTGCGGGAATCGTAGAAGTTGTAGCCACGTCCCCGCCATTTCGAGAGCCATCATTCAGTTTTGTCTCTCATTCCCTTATTCCCTTTATAAGGAACGAGCGAAGTTGTAGCAACTAGAATCACACTAATTCGGCACGCTCAACTGATCTCGACAAACTAAATGTCATTTAGACTAAGTGTGACTCCAGTCCGGTGAACCATGTTGCTAAAAGACATCGCCGAAATGCGATGGCGAGTCATAACAGTCAACCGACACCGGGCGCGCTAAACGATACTGACCAATCGTTGTCAAACTGGCTACCTATTTCGGAAGCATTATTCAGAAAACCACATAATTCCTTCCACGTTTGGACCGGTGCTTTATCCTTCCGGGTAATTTGTTATTGTACACTGAAGTTTACACCTACAAGGTCGAAAATCGATTATCTATGGCTACCTTTGTAGATTCAGTTGATTATTGACTGGCGCTACCTAGCCACACTTGTGTGCCTTAAGTGAATCCTTTAAATGATACCAGCCACCGAGCCACCCTCCTAACACACTGAGAGTTTCGACCGTTTAGTCATCACAAAATGATTTGATGGCTGTTTGTACAACAACCAACCCAGCTACCACTACACCCTCTAACAACGCACTGATGATGCCACCTCGATTGGTGATGAAACGTTTGCAAGCAGATTGCCCAGCTCAGCGAACAAACCAACGACTGTTCTGATTCCTTCTGACGAAGGACCTAATATGGTCCCAGTATTTCATCATGCCATAGATCTAGCTTCAGGCCATTGACGAGTCTAGCCAGAATGATGGGAGATAGGGGAAGCATCATGCGGTCTCAACGTCATTAGCCATTTTCCACTGTCACGTGCTGCTGGCACTAATAAGACTCATTTTGCGGAGGCGTGTAGTTCATACTGATGACACCGTCATTTGTGGTAGTACGTGAACAAAACTTGGTTATCTTCCATGTGCTCGAGACCACAATTAAGCTCTTCCCCGGACACATAACCTCAAGAGGAGGCTTTTGAACGGATGATGACACAATGAGTCTGAACGTCACCTCAGCCACATAGAGCCAGCTTCCAGAG